TGCAATAATTCTGATATCTACCTCTAAATGTAATAAATTACAGTATCTTCCACGCAATAATCAGGTATTTTCACAGACGGTTTGTAGAGTTTGTACCCAGTCCATTCTGTCTTCCTCGGACGCAGCTCGAAAAATATATTTGGTTCCTTTTCGTGTTCGGAGAAGAAATGTGTACCCCGCAGTTTGTTTCGTGCTCCCTGTCAACAGAACATTTGTCGTATGTAGCTAACAAGACCACTACTAAACCCCCTAAGAAGGCATGTAACATTTCTTATTATTTTCCTACAGGTATAATACATCTTGAGGCGCGGTGGCCTCATAGTTAGTGTTCTTGGACAAGACACTTTACTCTCACAGTGCCTCTCTCCACCCAAGTGTATAAATGGGTACCAGCGGATTTAATGCCGGTGGGGGGTAACCCTGCGATGGACTGGCATTCCATCCGGAAGAAGTAGAAATACTCCTAGTCGTTTCCTGTTACAGAAACCGGGATAAGCTCCGGCCTGATGGGCCACTTGGCTCGTATGCAGGCTATAATATGCCTAAGTGAATTTGAAAAATGGTCCGATATCTACCTCCTATAAATAATAGTTAACCGAAGGTTTTGAATTATCTATTGCTCTATTTTTCAGTAGGGCATTAACAAAAACTCATCATGCACGAGTATGGAAGAATCCCACCTTAAAAAATAGCCCACTAGAGCGTGTCAGGAACCCATGTCTCCCTAGCGTGTGTAACATCGGCCACAAACAACAGCCATTTAATAAGAGACAAACAACAAATAACCCTGGAACTTTCATAGCCAGTAAAGGAAATGAAAAATTTCCCACCTGACAGCCCTGACGCCTTCGCCCGTCCCGCTCCGGGTATCAAACTTAACGACCCATCCCCTACTGTCAAACAGGAGCTCATGACTCCTGCTGTCAAATATTTCTACATTGTCAAATTCAGGCAAACATCCTTACCGGGGTCGTACTCAGCTCCGGCAAACTCCTCTTCGCTTTTTAGAGTCTTTACCTCACTGTTGACAAGCTTTATTTGTCCAACTGGTACAGATGCCTGTTTCCGAAACAAAACAAGCAGAAACAGAAAAACAATAAAGGAATATGTCACGGTTTACACATCTAGAAAAGTTTAGCATAAATTTATCAAGTTCTTCGTTTGGAATCCGTGTTAATCTTCTCCATCCTTAACCATCCTTGTTCCTTTATAGTTCATTAGTATCTCTTAGGTGTCTTTCTATCTTAGTAAATTACTATTTTCAGGTTTTCTTCAATTTAAAGGAACAAATATTCTTTACCTTAGAAGGTCGGCAGTAGAACAGCATCGTCGGGTCTTTGCAGAGAATGAATTTTCTTGTCTTCCAGTTATGGCGGACATGACCCTGTAATATAGTAAATAGTATACGAACTAATGACCCTGTAAATTAATTACAACCCCCTCCATAAGTCTATACCTTCCTTGTCTGAAATTACGCCAAGAGTTGCCATTTCGAAGTTCAAAAGAGGATCAACTGGTCCGCAAATGAAATCCAGTAAAAACTAAACACCATCAACGTACAAATCTGGAGATATTTCAATTAGCGACTAAGTACCTTCGCTCGTTCACTTATGCTCCCAACCACAAATATGAAGATACTATTAGTAAGTAACTCGTTAAGGGAGAGCAAATTGTAGTTTGTTATAGGCGGTTTTTCCAAGACTTCACGGCAGAATTAGAAAAAGTCTGCCAGACTTTCTCAAGTTGACACCACAACCTTATACATGTCTAACCAATTATTGTAACACTCCTTTTATAGCTTCAGTGCACTATATAGTAATTTTCAAACAATAAATTACTGTGTACTTATTGACTGAGTAAGAGGGCCGAACGGGAAAATATTTGGCTTGAGGTCAGGACTTACGGACCGAGCACTGCGAGGTTCATGCGTCCTGAAAGAGGGCCAAATATTTTCCCGTCTGGCCTCCCACTCAGTCAATAAAAGTTTTATCATAAGACCATTTTGTTTTTTAAATTTGTTTTTGCTGGAACGAGAACGCGCGAGGCAGTATTTGCTTCGTTTCTAGTAGGGCTGTACGAGTTTCTAGTCGGGCCATGATTGCACATAGCCTCATATAGGATCTTTATTTCCTATGGTTTTCCATAGACAGAGCGCACGGGGTCGTACAGGTCTTATATATCATTTTATTTAGGTTTCCATCAATGAGAATATGTCTTAGAGGCCTTAATGTTCAGTAGAGTACTTTTCAATTGAGTGTCGAAAGTAATCAGGCAATTACTCTGGTTTTGGTTTTGGTTTTGGTTTTGGTTTTGGTTTTACTACGGTTTGAGATTGAGTTTGAGTAGTCTCTGAATTGGTAAGATCGATTGGATGACCAAGTGGAGCGAGATTTTTAAACCAATTCGAAGAGTAGCAATGCAAAAACAAAGCAAACACGAATCACTTTCGACACTCAGGTGAAAAAGCTCTAAATGATCTCCAATGGGATAGGATGGGATAGGATGGGATAGGATGGGATAGGATGGGATAGGATGGGATAGGATGGGATAGGATAGAATAGAATAGAATAAAATAATAATAATTAAATAAGCTTTAGAACTGTGGTGGCACAGGCAACTCTGTGAGATGGACCATGTACAGGCCAGATCTACAACATAACCTGACGTTAAGAGGGGCATTAAAAATACTACTGGGACCCACAGTTTGATGCATGCAATGACTGGCCAAATTAGTGGGCTGTATTCTACTCTAGGGCCTACTAAAATTTTAAGCTGTTTTTGTTGCCAAATATAACTCCCAAATTTATTGCCAAGTTTTCTTAATGTTCATGACAGCCACACACATAAAACTCTTGTTTCCTAAAATTTTCAGTGCAAGTTAGGAACTTACTAGTAACAATTCAAACCGACTCACATCATCATTGTGCTTTTGACAAATATCTGCTATCATTTGATGCCATTTTGTATGAGTTGAAAAATTTCCCCAAACTCTCTCCAGCCCACAAAAGGAGACAGAGAGTAGGAGCCCTGGAGCAAAGGCGACAAGAAGGGGATATTTGAGCAGAAAATTTAAGGTGGTGAGTTCTTGCCTTTTCTGTGACAAATGTTTATGCATAAACACAATGGTAGTAAAAGAAGGTTTGGTGGAGAGGGAAACCCTCCTGCTAGTCACAAATTCTCCCCATATAAACAAGCCCCAAGAAAGAAATAGCAAAAAAATACCTTTCACTTAGTTTTAACTGAAATAATTAGTTAATACTTGATTTCTAATCATAAAATTAACTAATTATTAATTAATAAATTTAAGTAGGAACTTAAAATGACTTTCCACCAGTCCCACTTGAATTTCTGTGCTGAGTGAAACAAAGTACAATTTATTGTAACACTTTATACTTAAAACATTTCCTCACCAGTAAAACACAGTTTGTGTAGTTTATTTTCTTCGTGACACATGTGAGTGCCAAGGGGTATTCCAGCATCAGCATCTTGCATGGCCTCAACCATCTCCCTGACAGAAATCAAATTTTGGTACTTACTATGCCTCTGACAATAACATGGAACTCTGAGGTTCAAGAACCAGCTAACAATATTTTATTGACGGTGTCTTTTGCTGCTGTTAGTAACAATATCAATAAATAGATATTACTATTTAATAGTAATATTATTATGGTACATGTAATCAACAAACCTTGAAAAAAAAAAAAACAAATAAAATGGATTGGGGGTGTTTAAAACAGGAAATAGTGAAACGACAAGGGTTAACCCTTACAATTATTGGCAACTAACCACTTTCAAGCAAATTATATTTAATAGGCTAACTGGGGTGCTATTTAAGCTAACTGGAGCACTATTCAAGCTAACTGGAGCACTATTCAGGCTCACCGTAGTGCCATGTCATCATTTCACCAATTTGCATTTTAACCACGCCCAAATGGATCAAAATCTTCAAATCACAACCCACACATGCCACTCTCTAAATGGTTTCGTTATTGAAAGGCACAGTTATATCTGTCGATAATGTTCACACTTGTAGCACATGCACATGTGTAAAGTCACATGGCCATTTTTTTCTTGAGGTTTTCTTTCATATCACACATGACGGACTAAGCAAAAGAGGGACTACACCTAGTCTGGATTCTGTCTCCTTTCCCGGGCTGGGCTTTTCTCCGGGTTTTTCACCCTCCTGGAAAACCATCATCGACAAATTTCAATTCAATCAGCTAAGAGCCTGAAAACTAGCTAGGGTTAATGTGGGTTCCTCTCTAAATATTACAATTTATTTTTGAGATGATGTTTTGTACCTTATTTGTGTTGGTGTAAACTGCACAGGTGTCCTTGGGTAAACACTTCTGCGAACTTCTTCAGAATCTGTACACTATAAAAACATATTAATTGGACTGCTTGACTTTGATAACATTGTTTTTAACAATAAATACTATTTTCAAATTCTGCAAAATTCCAATAGCAAGCCCTCCACTTATAGTTAGAGGCAAACCTGCTTTCTTATCTGCCTGTTCTATTAGGTTACTTACTCCATTAAAACTTGTTTCGTACCTTAAACTTTATGTCTAATCTTCTGACTGCATTTGCAATTGCTGTGGTCCATTCTTCACGTTCTTCTTCATTTGCTGCCTGGAGTAAGTATTCTATGTTTTCTTTGGTTGTTATTCTGAAAACACCCTAAAAACAACATAGGACAGGTTCATGATTGCATGACTAACACGACCGGTCAGTGTAAAAAAAAACCTGCAGACTGCGGACTGCAGACTGCCTGAGCATAAACAGGATTATTCAGGCCAGTTGCAGTGAAATTCTGCACTCTGGCTGGCCTGAATATCACTCCAGTTAGACTGGATATCACTCCGGTTAGCCTGAATATCACTCAGGTTAGCCTAGATAATGCTCCAGTTAGCCTGTTTAAGGTTAGCTTTAAATGATGGAAATGGTATCACAATTCAGTTATTTAAACAGTCTGTAGTCCGCATTTTACCCCTGGCCTGCAGTCTGCATTTTACCAGTCAGTCTGCATTTTACCCTCACTCTGCATTCTACCCCTGGTCCACAGTCTGCAATTCACTGTCTGCATATTACACTGACCACTAATACAACTGTCTTTGATCAGTAACAAAATGTAGACACTGCAACTTTATCACAAGCAACATTTATCAAGCTTATATGACAAGTCAATGACATAAACCATTTTGTGAAAATCAAGCATGCAACTTGTTGGTAATTGCTGAACATGACACAAAAAATCTTATAGGATTATAAAACATGGTGTAATTGAAACCCTGCAACAATCACAGTCTGGTGCATGCTAAAAATGCTGAGGTAACAAAGTGAAACCTCCTCCTGTTCCTTACCCATGTGGGGAAAATATGATGTACTATAATTCTTTGCTTGGCTGTATTGGGAAGTGTTTATGTGTACACCATCACTGGTCATTGCAGAGAGGCCCCCTTGTCCATGGAATCCCCACCACAACTACAAATAAAGGTACCTGCACCCAATACCTTTCTGGCAGCCAGCCCTCTAACTGTTAGGGACTGGATCTAAATCTGTGTTGTAAGGTGATTAATTAGAGGAAGGGAACTGCAATTGAGAATTTTGAGAAAAAAGGGGGAGGGAAGGTGGAGGAATGGGGCTGGGTACTTGTAGAATAACAGCATAATTTTGTGAAAAAGTATGAAGCAGGAGAATTAGAGAAAACTGTGCAATATGTACAATGGACATAATAGGGGCAGCCAAAAAGCAAGGGGGGAGGGGGGGGG